GAGAGCAATGTTGGTCGTTTTTTGTAACAAGTCATCTCGTTCCTGTTGCTTGAACATTTAGCTTGATGACGGTCATGGTTCATTTCACCTCAGTTCTTTTCGGGTTGGCATGCGTGCCAAATTGCCATTGAAAACAGGAGACTAGGTGGACTGAGTGAGCTTCAACAACACATTAAATCTGGTAATAATGGCTATTTACCCATTCCTCCCTCCTCCAGATATGCGTTTTTAGCACGCTAACAGTTTTATCCTCATGTGTTCCAGAGGTAAACATTTGTTGAATATGTTAGAATACAGTTTTACGACTACAGCAATCTTAAGGTTCTCATTGCTCAAGTATTCTCCAATAAGGGGGGGGGGGAGGCGTTATGGCTAAGAGCAGTCAATACTTAAAACCACGAAAGGAATTTTCTATCAAAAGATTTAGGACTCTCGAAGGGGCGAGACTGCGGGTTGTGAGCAAATTTCGTCTCCCCTCGAGTTTCTCACCCCTGCAAGGCTGACCGAGTTGCTCATTAGATGTACATTCATTTTTTTCTAATTTTTTTTTCGTTTTTTCCTCTTCATCATTTCGTTATATTTCTCTAGTCATACTATTCACTCAAGACCGTGTACGACATACAAAAAACTGAAGAATTAGCGCTGGAATAAGGCCTCTAGCAGCTCACATTTTTAACATATTAACGGCGGCCCGTTGTGCGCTTGTCTCGGCATATTTTTCACATTTTTCATAAACAACATTCCCCCTTGAATACTTCGGTTACTGGTAACAAATGAACTGTATTTTTAGATCCAGTAATGTGAAGGCAGTTTGGAGACGTGAAAAATGCCAAATAAATCGAGCAGAACGAGTCTCTTCTGCACAGAAATCTGATGCTCATGCCGTCGTGCTGTCGTCAGTGCGTTAAAGAACTTTTTGAGACAATTTTCCATTAAAGAAGAATGTGCTCTTCAGTGGCTCGCTTCACTGGATGAGGTCGCACTGCTCTTTAAGATGTTACAATCCCCTTGATATTTCAAGGGACTAAAGGGGCGTTATATAAAACATTCATTTAAATACAATGCTTACATTTACTGTTCTTCAGCAGCCAATAAATTTCTCCAGCTAACCATAAAACGTACTAATTCGTTCCATGTATGGGAAATTCGTAGCGGAGATGCCGTGAAATTATTGATCGTTTGCTTTATTATCGTCTAAAGATCTCGTCAGATACGCGGAGTCGAAGCATCCAGCGGCGTTTTTCACTTTTTCAACCGGGTCTCAACTGAGTCTCTCCCATATACAATTTTAGCATGACGCATTTTCATAGCGGGCTCCTCCCATGAGTTGTTAAATGACCCGAATGAGCCGGAATATTCGCTCCGTTGCGCGGGTCTGACGAGGATTAGGGTCCTCGAAAATCTCATCAACATTTGTTCGGCGACAATCTATGGCTATTACTACGTTCGGAAATGTGTATCTCTGCTGCAAGGCATATTTTATGACTTCCCTCTTTTTTCTTATGCATTGTTAGTTTTGTTGTCATCGATTTATCGGTTCCGTGACGTTTATCCAAGCGTGGATTGAATCTTCAGCGTTCAAGAGTAGAGGAGCTGGTATTTGTCCCGCAACTGAAACACGATGCCGATTCGCGTCTTCTGTTTCAACTAATCCCCAGTATCTTCCATTATTCATCGGGGCTTGCCGTGGGTCGAGGAAATCTCGATAAGGTCAAGAAAGGAATTGGCCATGCAATTAGCATGTTAAACAAAAAATTGTGTAGTAATTCAAACGCATCAACGAACAGCTCCTCTTCTTGCTTTTTTCTCTTTCCTCCCTTCTTTTTTTCTTTCTTGCCTTCCTCTGAAGTTTTGGGAACTCAGAAAAATTTTCATATTTTTTTTCAAACTTTCGAAGTTTTGGACTTTTTGTAGAGGTAGTTTTTGCCGGAAATTTTCTCGATCCCATGGCGCAATCTGTCGATTACATATGAATACCTGTGCTATAAAGACCCTCTGTTTCACCTCCCTCTATTCTTCGCTCCATTCCAAACCTGAAACGTTTCACATAGCCGATAAGAAGCATGTCCACTAATGTCATTCATGTACCGTTATCAAATCTGCAGATCGACGAATTCGTCTGCGGCTCATTCTTTGACGAGGGGCCGGTCCACGTGGATCATTGTCGCATTGTTCAGAAGTGAGGAAGTTAGATAATGAACAAGCATTCGCTTCTGATAATCTATTTTGGGATGCGCCACGCATTCCAGTTTTATACATGACTGCCATAGCGTGCGAGTTGTTTTACGAGTAAGAATATTTGTGTAAGTCCATACTTTTGATTCACAAAGGCGAGTCCACTACCAATTGAACGACCCTGTAGAAAAGGAGATTAGTGGTGTTTATAAAATTTGTTAGAGATCTTACCCCAACCAAATGTGTTGGGCGACGCCCCTTATTACTTACCTTATATAAGGAAGAATGTGAAAATGGGAGAAAGGGGAAAAACCCTAATTTAGTGAAGTAATCCGCCAAGCTTTGAAATTATTCGCTCAGAGAGTTGGGAGCGAAAAGCGCTGCTACTACGCGCGTGGTCTACAGACCGAAGTATGCACGGGTCAGTTAAGCTCTCTCATCTATTTAAGTTGGCTAGTTAGTGCCTCGTTGGAGGATGGAAGCTCTAATTGGAGCATCTGCAGTTCTGTCAGGTATTGTATAGCCTGAGTGAATGTTCTGAGGAAATAGAAAGTGGTGCGTAGCGAAGGAATTGGCTGATGCCCAGGAATTCTATCCTTTTATCCGTTTCCAAAACCAATATTAACAGCAGTGTTTCATAATATTCCCTATTAATAATTAAGAAGGAAATACAGAGCATTGACTTCGCCTTTTATGCATCAACGATTTCGAATAGCTGGTGTCTGAGAACTTCCCGCTTGTAGGTAAAATAGTGCTAATTTGATTTTGTTTTAAATCAGTGTTCCTAATTTATAACTTATTTAGATCCTGAAGAATTGTTGTAGTGCACCTACGAGTGCATAGTAATAAATAATAAATAAATAATACACGAGTCAGGCTTTTCAAATACTATGGTCTCCCACTTCCCAATGCCGATTATCACAAGAAAACTAGCCTACGGAAACTACTCTCTCCTATTTTGCCCTGTGTTGTCCCAGTGCGTTGCTCGTCTTAGATTCCACTAACCACGAGAGCTGTTCCGCTCATTTCTGCACGCGATGGGCTGTCGGTCAGCGATCGGCACTGGTGCTGCCAGAATAAGCGACGTACCAGTATAGCAATACAAGTGTAAGCTACAGCTTGCGCCTGTTCTATTTGACAGTACAGACACCTGAGCAAGGGCTAGACAAAGTTTTGATTGGCTCACTTGAGGAATTATGGTGAAGCACATTTCGACGAAAATGGCTCAATACACCCCCAAAGGATCCATAAGGCTCCTTTGTTCCACTACATGCGAAATAGGGAATTTACCAAATTTGCATCAATAAAGTTCTATCTTTTAAAATTAATTTTTTTTCATATTTCTCGAATTTTTTTCCCACGGCTTCTCAAAATATTCCATCAATTTCGTTTAGTACACCCACTCTTCCAGTGGGCAAATACGATCCTCGTCGAAGATCCTTCTCGCAGCTCACTCTATTTTTGACTTTCCAATCAGGTTCTTATCAGGGTGAACTTAGAAAACACAATTTTAAATTCCCCTTATTATTGATTGAATTCATGGTTCCTTGACAGTGCGCTCTCCTATTTGCACTTCTCCTTCGTGTATACTCTCTGAACGGTCTTTTTATTGCCCACATTTTTGTTTTTATAGACGCAAAAATGATTCCTGCTCTGTTTACATTCATGGTTCATATCTCCGTTACTGTGTAACAGCCACTCATACATTTCTCGTTCGCCGTTTCGAGTTGCTTAATTTTTGTATAGGACTTCTGAGTGATTCTTTCATCAAATCGTTAGAGAGGATTAATTGTCATTCTTCTTAATCTTTCTATATCAAAAGAAAACCATTCAGACAAAGCTGGGGACAGGGTAGAGATGACCTGCTCACTAAAGCACTCTGTGCGCTTCGAATTATAATATAAGTTGAGGAGGTCATGCACTCGTGCATGAAATCATGCGACTCTGTTTTTACCAAAAAAAAACCGGTACTTCACGCCTTGAATGAGAGGAGGATCGCAAAAAAAATACCGAAAAAAAGTAACGTCCATTTTGTTAAGAGAATCAAAAACTAAGTGGGTTATGGATTGAATTTCCATTGAAAAGTAGTCACAGTTGTCGATGGCGTAGAGCCATAGTAGCTTGGGAGTAAGTTGGTAGGGGTGACTGTTTTCTTAGTGATTTCAGTTTTCGCCCAAAACTTTGGCAGCCTGTCTTTTCTGACTGCAAACGGAGATCCGTAGAGGGATCGATTTGCCGGATCCCTTTATAGACAGTGATTACGATAGCTGGAAAGCTGTGCGAATTTGATGACGCCGTTGGACGTCATTGGTGGGCCGCTCTCCCGCCAATGACATTCAATGGCGATATCAAAACCGCACCGCCCTATAGCCAACGTGATCGTTGCCTTTACAGTGCTCGTATTTAGCACAAAAACCCCTTGTTATCATTCTCAGCAAGGGGATCATGAAAATTGGGTGCATGACGTGTTGCCATTATTATGAGGTAATTCATTTACATCTGAATTTTACTCAACATTCCTTCCATTAGAAGGTAGGTCTAGCTGTGGCAGCACAGTTTTCGTGTAAGTGATCAGCTGGTCTACACTTTGCACTCTAGCAAATTGTTCGTAGTTCTAGAGATAGTTAAGTGATAGTAAGATTGTCTGCCTTCTAAAATTGGTTTGAATATCGCTCCGACATTGTTAGAACGCATTCACGATTCCGACCGAACGTTGAATGCATGGCGCATTCCAGAGGAGTAAGCGACCGCCACGTCTTCTTTCATAGCTTTGTGTTTTTAATTTGTACCTTATCCATCATGCCATCGATTTTTATATATAATCAATGAACTCACGTTTACTTAACATTTTCCGTTTAGACTTCATGGATTTTGATTCGAAATACACAATAGGTACGTTCATCGAAAGCGGTTCATTTGGAGAAGTGTGCCGTATCATTAGAAATGCGGACAGAATTCAGGTAAATTATCAACTATTCATTCGAAGTGTGGTTCTTTTGATAGTGCTATCTACTGTTCGATATGTTTTAAAACTACCAAATTTGGTCACTTTGGTAGTGAATGATCATAAATGTTTCAAGTGGACCGTTAAATTAAAATTAAAAACTAAACTAAAATTAGTAAAAGGTAAAAGAATCTGTTGAAATTGATGACATCAATAGCTTTCCCTAACAATCAGTGACTGAGCAGTGTTACGAAAAAGATACTGACTGCGGAGAAGAGTGGATGGAGGGAGCATGATGGATGGGTGAGACGCAGAACGCACGAACAGAACGCGTAAGCCGTTGAATCGTGAGTAACGACAGGCACAGCACCTGGCAGAATAGGTAACAAGGCCCTAGCACCAGCGCCGCAAGACCGGCACGTGTTCTTCATTTCTAGAGAACTTACCTTTCTTATGGTAGGAACTTGCCCATCTAGCTCAAGCGCGGGGTTTGCCTCCAAGTGAAACGAGCTTTGTACGTCAAGAAAACAATCGAAAGAGCTACAACTTTGGTTTTTTGGCAAATACCCCCACCCAAAACCACCCAAAAACATAAAATGTGGAATGCATTCATTTTTTCCCATCAGTTACTCCATGAACAATTTTCACTAGAGCAGCATGTCTCTAATTTGACGAAACAACATAAGTGCTGTTGAAGTCACGATCCCTTGATCTTCCAAGCATGTACTGATCGAATCAATTTTGGGCACACAGAGCGAACAAATGCGTTCGAGAGCTGCAATTTTTCCGAATTTCTTTTTTCTCGATTTTTCCACGAATCCCTTTTCCCTATGGAACTGCATACTGATATTTGAAACCTTAAACAATTTAATTGTCTATTCCTCCTCTTCTTCTTTCTTCCTTCCTCCTTTCTCGGCTCGATTTTCATTGCATTCATTTTGTTTACATGATTGCCAATCAGGAGTATCGAATTATCCTTTCTTGAGGAAGGGATGGGTTTATGAGCCATGTTATGGCAACACCATTCTAATTAAAGCAATTGCATTAGACAGTCCGCGGGGACGCGCATATTGAGGTGTTTACGAGATTATTTCATGATTAGTAAACACCTCGCAACCTTGTTTACACCTTGTGATTAAGTCCATCTGGCACCTTAAACTGCACGCTCTGCATTAGACCACTGGATAATGTGTTTAGTGGGTAAGATATAGCTGTTTGCAAAGTTACCGATCACAAGGCACTAAAGTTAGCTGCGCTTAATTAATGTGCTCGGATCTTGCTAAGGTTCTCAATCAGTGACCATAAGGTGTATTCCCACCACCAGCAGTGCAGATGCCGCGTACCTGTGCTCTCTCGTCCAGTGTGATATTTCTTGTGTGTTCGCTTCTTTGCACGCTCTGTTTCTCCATCGTACCACGGTCGACCATACAGAAACATTGACCAATTAGTTTCAACGTTTCTGATGACTTCTTTCGCTTCCTTTCACTTTCAGTCCCTGAGCGATCGATGTTCATTACTGAGCGCTCATAAGGCATCAACTTTATTCCAGGGCGTGCCTCTAGACGTTTTTTCCTTGAGCCTTGTAAACTCCTCTAACAAACCGCGATTTTTCACAAACTGAGAACAACATATTACCGACCCATTTTCATCATTTTCAGTTGGCACTGAAAACGATCTACAAATCAAAGCTACCTCATTACGCGTGTCCTTCTCATGATGGTTATCCAGTCGAGGTGGAACTTCTGAAGAACCTCGAACATCCACATATCATAAAAGTAAGTTGATCAGTAATTCTGAGTGACTCGTGTGCACAGAGACTCGTTGGTAGCCGTGCATCATAAAGGCGAGCCCGCGTACTGTCGCTTTCTTGGGTACACCTAAAAAATTTGGGGCGCAAAGGTCACCCCAAAGAAAGTGTAGTTCTTGTCTTCTGTCCTTGAACTCGTTTCGAATTTCTGATTCGTTTCCCCATTTTACAAAATGGGTCGCTAGATATTGATTTTGATCATGGTCGCTTACAGTGTTAATAGGGTTCTCGTCTGGTGTACACCAAGGTAGGTGAAGCGATGCGCTGCGGGTGTGGACCGAGTGTTCTTTGCCAGATCTGGGCGGCCAGCTCCTGCCGGGCGCAACAGCAGGAAGAACGGTCAACCGTTGTTGGAACTTTAATAAGGAGAAGATCTTGTTTGAGATTTTTTTTGAAGGAGGGCCAAGTTAGATTTTTTGAGGTGGTTGTGGAAAGGGAAAATTTTTGGACAAGACGAAATTTTGTTATATTTTTTCTCACGAATTTCTGCTGTGGGCGAAAATGAGCAGAATAAGCACGGTCAAAGGGACCACAATAGGCATTACTGACTGTTGGATGGAAAAGTAAAGAGTTGTGTGGGGGTTTTCTAGAAGGGAATGTCGTCCTATTCTGAAATTTTTCCTAACGTGACGAAAAGTCGAAAGTCGGCGAAAGTCTCCTCAAGAAATAGCCGCTAGACTATTTGAAGCATTGCTTCTGAGAGTTAAAAGCAACAGATTCACAGGAACGGTTTCCGCGAAAAACACAATAATCGAACTTGTAGATGAAAACAGGACGTATCTAATGTATGAAACTGGAAAAATATCGGGAGGAGGTCTTAGACAGGTACTCCCCTCTGCGCCGTCAGCAATGGCATAAAGACGCACGTTGGACGAGTTGTATAACGTGCCCGCTGTAAAACGCGCCCATTTCAATCTATTTTCCCCTAGCGTCCCAAAACGAGCACGAATTGCGAGACCCGTTCCAAATGCCGGCCGGCAAGGGGGCAGGATTGCGGGAAAATCCCAAGAAACCCGAAGTGTGGAGGCTTGACTCACCTGTTTTGAGTTTCTGAAGTAAGTCGTTTATTATTTCCACTGCATATTTCTTCACTAGGGCTCATGTATCCCTCAGTACGTAGTGGCATAATTTTTGAATGTTGGACCTCAACTGAACTGTTGCTTTAACGAAAAATAGGATCATTCGAGCGCAGCTCGGCGCAGTAGTTAGTTTAAAAGGATCAAATGCTGGCACGCATGTGATTCGCTATGCAAAAAAGCATGATCGGGGTCGCATTCAGTATGGAGGGACTTGTTGTGCTATTTGCTTGAAGTTTCTGTGTAGCGGGTACCCATCAGAAGGCCCATTGTGCGGCGAGAAGGCAGAGAAGTAGGCGGATCAGCGGACAAGTCGCAGCACGCATCGTGCAAGTTGGACGTGCTATAGTATATTCTATTTGGCGTGGCGTTAAGTCGACACGGTACGCGCTGCGACTCGTCCACTGACCCATCTGCGGCTATGCTTTCTTACCGTGCCGGGGCTTTTGTCAGGTACTCAACTGTCACCCCACATGCCTCCCTCCTCGCCCACTTACTGGATGATACCCCCATGATCTTTAATGATTAAGAAGTTGTCACTATGGGCTATCAATTATGTGGAGACCGTTTTCGTTTGCCTGCACTGTAGTTGTACCCAAGTGTCAGATGCAAAGGGCACATACAGCTTTATTAAAGTGGAAAAATCTATGCCGAATTCAAACGTTCCTCAACATCGAATTCAGCAGTGGTAATGTGTCAATTGCAGTTTGTCGACTCATTTGAGGATGCGAAATCATTTTTCCTAGTAATGGAGTTGGTTGAAAATTCTATCGATTTATATGATTTCACCATGAAACGTATAGAGATGTCAGAAGAAGTGCTAGCGTATATTTTTGCTCAGGTTGGTCTCCTTTGAATATGAAATGAAATTAGGATCACAATTTTCTAGAATTATGTAATCCTAATACAAGCCCAAATATGGCCAGCAGTGAGCTAGATTGCTGAGTAACGCTACGTAGCCGCTCCTAACGATCCTAGGTCTCCTCCATTTCCTACGTTTATTAACTCTTTTTGGAATGCGCCACGCTGCTCACTTCCTTTCAAAATCTTAATGGTTCTTGAATGCGGTATGGCCTTTACAACGACTTGCGCGGGCCAGCCAGTGTGCAACTCAGTATTTTCTTCCTTACAGACAAGTCTGCTACCCTTTATCGATCCCGGAGGCATGGAAGCTTGCCTGTTCTTAGCGAAATACGGTGCGAGATGGATCCTCCGGACCATGGGCGTGGGAAGTGGCACCACTTTCCACTACACTACCTTTGCTCTCTCCTTCACTTAATATTAACATGAAATTCGTTGAAAATCTTGAAAATTATCTAAAGGAGATAAGGTGAGACTCCACGGTGGTTGAGGTGGAGCCTTGCCTAATTTTCCACTTCTCCCCTCCTTACTTTCGGACTTCTTCAACAAATGGTACCGGTTTGGTACAGCCTGGCTCGTTTTGCTCATTTTTCCAATTTTATCTTTATGAGTTTATTACGCTGATTTATGTATCTCGAGCCGATGGCCGATGTCTTCGTAAGGAGGCTACTGCTCTTCCCAAAAAAAAGTGAGGTCATATGATTCACAAAGGCAGTTCTTTCTCGTCGAATAAAGCCATTCATCACTCATCAAAGCGTTTCCGTGGGAAATTCAACATTTCTCCCTCTCGCGAAAATTGCCAAATGTTTGCTACACTTCGTGGGCTCATACCGTGTTAAAAATCGCAGATGTAATGCAAACAAACTTGCAATCCAATTGTGACCTTCTCAGGTGCTTTTGATTGAATCATAAAGGGATGGACCAAGTCTATCCAAACAAATATTTCGAAAGTTCGTTTCATAGCCAGTTGTTCGTATTAACAAAATTTTGCCAATTTGAAGGACAAAAATACTAACTTGTACAGCGGTTGACCCCGTCTATAAAGACCAAATCGCTTTCATACCATTACGATTCTGGAAGTAGGTTGAATGCTTGGCGCAAGTCGGAAAGCGATTGTCGACGCCGAATCTTGATTTTATCTTCGACACAATATACCGTAATTTGTACGGTAACGAAATGGCTGTAAACTGCAGTGATGTACTATATTCAATTTCATGTTATGTGTGTGTCGTATTTAATCGCACATTCAGGTAGCCGACGCTCTTCTCTACCTTCATTGTCATGATATAGCACATCTTGATATCAAACTAGAAAATGTCGTCATGGATGAAAACTTGAATTGTAGGTTCAGCTCTAGTACTGGTAGTGTTACTTTCGTTGGAGAATTGGGGGGGGGGGCGGAGCGAGACCTTTCTGTGGTTTGTACGTTCTCACTGAGATATATTAGATAACAGTAGTGCGAAAGGAAGAATCAGTGAGCCAGGGGAGCAAGGGGCCACCGAGCGCCTCCATTTACTCCCCCTTTCACATGCAGTAGCGTCCACTATTACTATAGTGCGTACCAAAAGGAGTGGGCACCCTGGAATCGATCTCAGGGGTCAGCTAAAGGCTGTATGTATGAGACCTCCAACGTTCAACTCCTTAGTGGTCGATAACCTACAAAGATGTTATTCGCAAAGATTTCGTTCTAACTTACTTAGCCGAACTATTTTTATGGAAATGTTTTTACTTTGTATCAATAGTGGCACTTTTTGGAAAGCGTGCAATATCTTCAAAAGCTGAAATCGGTAGGCCTACAAAAGTTGCTAGTTCTAGTTTCATTCTGTTTGGTATGCGTATGACCGGGTCTGATGCAGGTCTTGAGATTTGTTCCCAACAGCAAATTCACCGAGTGTTAGTCACTTGCGATATTGCTCTTTTGGTTCGTGACGGAGGAGATCGCGACACCTATAGCTCTACGTTTTAATAAGGATGAAGATAGCTGAGAAACTACGCCTTAGCCATTTTGCCATCAAAGCCGTGCGTTTAGCATTTTTCATATGGAATGGTGTCAGCGCACCTCCCCTACAAAACATGTGATTTTGCCAACCATGTATTTGTCGAAAAAAGGTGAGCCGGAGGGAGAGACCTCAATTATTAATCCTAATCGCTCTTACCTTGACATGTGGCAGCCGAAATTCAAATGTTCCCTGCTTATGAACACCCAGACGGCTTGATGGAAAAAGAATATCTTCGTATTCTCTTCGAGCACATGTGCGGGTCGACAAAGTCTATTCAAAAACCACAAGACCCACCCGAAGTAGTAAGAAATAAGCTACATTCCCGCGTTGGTTTGGTATATGAGAGAAATTTTCACAGAAAGTCGATTTATACTAATTTTACCACTGCTTACGAAAGCACTGTCTGTGTGGTTTTCAATGTGTAGTTGTGCTGTTTGGGTGAGGAAGTAGGGAATTCCAACCTTTCCGCCTGGAACCGGCGTTCATATTACAAAGCCTTTCTTCATCTTCCTTTCGTGTTGTCGTGTGCTCAATTGATTGAAGAGACGATCGACGGTTTTTTAAGACCGGGAAGTCATTTTGTGGTTATACGTTATACGTTGAGTAGTACGAAAAGAATAATTTGAGAAATTTGAGGCTACTTTTTTCGTGTTTTGAACAAGTAGCGATGGAGAACAACCCTCAGTCAAGGTCGAGAGCTTGTCATCAGGATTTCGGATTTCTCTTCAAAACTACGAGGACACATGACTGGTTAAGGTGCTATTTCGCAACAGGAAGGTTCAGAAGCATGGGGATCCCATTTCTGTGTTCGGTTTTCTCCAGAAAAAGTCTTGCCGTGAAGAGGAATGATGCCAGAATAAGTAACGAAAGGAGAAGTAAAAATAGGTTAGGAAATCGATGCAAAAGCTTTATTTGCCTCAGCGTGTCCACATAATTTTGATACAAAGAAAAAACTTTCCATAAAAAATAAATTGCTAAATTAGAACGAATCTTTTGCCGAGAATGTCATTGTAGGTTATCGACCACTAGGAGTTGAATGGTGGAGGTTTCATAACACAAAAAGCCTTTAGCTGACTCCTGAGAATCGATTCTAGGGTGTCCACATACTTTTGGTACGCACTGTACTACTAAAATGCAATACTTCACAAGAAGCTCCAGAAAAGGTGTTTGATATTCGAGACGTGAAAAAGGTGTTTCTTTCTCCGTAAAATATAACTCCGATATCTGTCAAACGCCACGTTTGACCCTTCTTGTGGCTCAACGCACGTCCTATTCATCTCGAATTTGAGGGCAAGGTCCGTGCTCAGCTTTACTAAAGTAGTCACTCCCGTAGAGGGAAGTGTGGGTCACCAGTGCACAGGTAACACCACCTTCACACATTGAAAACCCTCTAAGGCGCTATCCGCTAGGGACTTCGGTCAAATCCCACCAAGAAGGGTCAGGACCCCCCCCCACTGATCTGATATCTTACCTGCGTCGCAATGCACTCTCCACCCGGACTTCCCTTACTCTCTTTCGACCGAGGTCGTCTTTCATCTCCGTGCCTGGCTCCTTGGCCGTCGTCAAACTTTGCGAATCGACCGATTCGCTCGAATGACAAAGTCTAACATCGACCGCAGACTTCTCTGCAGCTTAGAACAAGAAGGCTCCATTTCCAATGTTTTTCATTACTCTCTTTCCAATTTTCTCCACTTGTAGTCCACCTCCCATGCCTGATTTCATATTTGAGTGGGACTACCACATAAACTTAATCCTGATCCTCGCCTTTAAACGTGGCTGCGTATCTCAGACCAGTTCTTGAAAAGCTATTTTTTGTGAATTCGTCCGCAAAGAAATTGAGTCATTTAGTGGTAAGCATCAGAGATCCGCTCAAGATCCTCATCGCCGCTTGATATGGAGGCAGTCTTAATCAGAAATGGCCTTTGTTTATTCTTGTTTACGTTTTATCTCATACATTATTTCAGGCAAGTTGGTGGACTTTGGCAGTGCGTCTATATGCAGAGACGATGACGTTTTTCATTTTCCGAGGTGTTCCGAGCCCGCTTGTAGTCCCGAGATATGGACCGGTCGCAGGTTCGTTGAACGACTTTGAGCTAGGCGCAGGATCAGCCGTCACTTTGGGAAACTTCTTGAAATTGAGGGACCCTTCTCTTGGAGGACTTGTCAACACAACTTTTCCAAGATCTATGTTGTCCATGTGACAGTTGAGCCTTCTTCATCATGCATACTTCTGAACTCCTTCCTCGAAACTCCAAAAGTGCATTGGGCCGGGTCGTAGTGCACATACGTGGCATATATGTATTGGATGTTTTACAATATAATGGAACGCAAAATATTTGACAAGTTTCCAGTTTCAAAATTTCGAAGCTTAAAAATCTGCTTCTTACATAGCTCTCAAAAACACGACCCTTCATAAGCAGCGATCGTTAGAGGAGTTTCCACAGAAGAATTTTTCAACTTTAGGTGAAGCAGGGTTACTAGATAGGTTACGAGCAAGGACACACTATTCTTTCCGGTGAACTTCGATCACTAAATCTACGCCGGAATGTTCCCCCTTATTGGTTTTGGGCGTTAATTAGCCAGTACTGGTACTGTGGATAATTCTTAGAGCTCTCAATATCGCTCTCCATTTTTCTTGACGAATTTAGTTATCATTCGGCTGCGGGTTCTTTAGCTATATTTTGTTGTTTACAAACTCCGAAAACTACGTTTCCTAAAATCCCGCCTAGAAAATATTCTAAAGCTACCGAATGACTATTGTCAGTCGTCAAAAGAGTTCCTATAATGATAGCGCTAACGGAAGTGGGATCAACGAATAACAACTTTCGCCGCTGCTCGGTACTTATACAGCCATTCGGCCAAGGGCTCTGGGTTATATCAAGCCCTTATCATTTTTCCTTGAGAATACTCCCGCAAAAGTGGACGCTTCGAAACAGTGTGAAAATATCTTCGGGCAAAACTTCGACCCTGGAGGGGCACATCTTAACCGTACGGAAGGAATCTCTTCAGAAGCTGCGATTCCTCCATCTGTAAGTTTATTTCAACCACTCTCTCCAGTCTATTCGACAAGATTATAAGTT